AAAAAAAAAATCTGAAAAAATTCATGGATAATTTTGAAATTATTTGTAAGTCTCTCGCAAGCTTTTCTAGAATTTCTCCTAATATTAGATTGTAAACTTACATTATAAATATGGACTCAATATTAAAAATACCTAATGTTTCTAAAAAGAAGTTAAAAAAAATCCTTTATTTCAGAAAATACAAAAAAATATTTTTTTCAATAATTATTGGATTGTAGAGTTACACTGTAAAATACAAACTTAATATTAAAAATACTTAATTTTCTATGAAATTTCAAAATAAATCTAAAAAGTTCAAAAAAAAAATTCTTCATTTAAAAAACACAAAAATATGATGTTCTTAATGCATAAGGAAAAATTCTAAAGGTTTTCAATGTATATTTTTTAAAAAATAAAATTATATTTTATCTTGCAAAATAAATATTATAACAAGTTTATAATTATTTATTAGAAATTGGTCAAAATACCATAAATCCCTCAACAATTAATTTTCTTAAATAATATTTAGAGTATTAGGATTTAGTTGTAGACTGTAATATTTGAAAGTATGAAATTACACTATAAAGTATATCTTCATGTATTAAATATATAAAATAAAAATAAATGCAATGCTAAAAATTAGACTTTAGAATGGTTAGGATTTAATTCGATAAGGTAGAGATTTCCTCACGAAAAAAGATCTGCCTTGAACCTTAGATGAGACCCATAAATAAAAACATGTTTTAGATTAATAATCAATCAACGATGCAGCTTACTATAAGTAAAGTGTACTCAAAGTGATACATCTTCCGGTTGCACAATTAGTCCCCTTACCCAAACTCTCATGAGCTAAAGATTTTTCAATGACCATAATATTAAGTGGTGACTCAGTTTAATCATAACTTTATGATTAACCCAAAACACTCCTCATTTCTAGAAGGCAACTCTACCATTTAATGTCATGCACATCATGATATTGACTCCTAGTTTCCTTGGTAAATCAAGTCCTATCTTTTCTAGGACAATTTGCACTCTTTGTAGATATGGTCAATTATGTCCTTCTTATCCATGTTTGGTAGCAAACAATTATTGTTTTTACATAGTTAATATATAAATGTTTATATTTTTCTACAAATATATTTATTTTTATGTAGACACCACTAATGATTGGATAATTAGATAGGTTATATGTTTACTATAACAAAAGCTTTAGAAAATCTTTTCATGGGTGATTGATATTTTTTCAAGAACAAGGTATTTTTTATATTTTTAGTTAGGTTTTGATTGATTTTGAATCGTATGGATCATTGTTCAGGGGATGAAAATTTTAAAATTTTGATGCACTTATGTCTCAGTAAAGTTATAAACCATATTTTTTTCTAGTTTGGTTTTCTAGCATCATATTAATTTATAATTGTGTTTATAAATTCTTTTCACTTGACATGTCAATCTATTAATTTGTAAGATAATCAATACGTTTATTACTAATTGATTTTTTAATCAATATTCTATATGTTTTTTTTAACAAGAAGAAATTACAATTAAAAAATTAATTTTAAGTACAAGTATTGGCCTCGCAAATCAAGCCAAGTGTTGAATTTTTAACTTGATTTTAACATGTTAAGAAAAGACAAGGATGACAAACTAGAAAAACAATAAAGAAAAGCGACAAAGGTAAAAATAAGTTGTAAAGAAAAGCAATAAACAAAAGTTGTAAACTACAGTAAACGAAAGAAAGAAAGCTTGTGAATAAATTACAGAGGTTGGCCATCCTTTATATTTGTTAGATGGCCTTTTGTAATGTTATTTAACGTAAATTTAAAATTTTAATTCTATACAAACTATTTAAGTTAGATAAGGAGTATATAATCTTAATTTTAGTATAATTTATACTTCTTATTCGCTCACATCCTTTTTATTATATGTGTTTTTATTATACTGTAATACTTGTCCTATCGTATCTGTCCTCCTGCAATACGGGACTTTGTTTATTGATATTGTGCATCTTGATCTCCTAGTTGATAATCTATTTCAACTTGTCATTCTACTTTGCAATATATATATATATATATATTGAAATATTTCCGGATCAAACATTCCTTGACCAAGTACTGGTTTGAGAAATGTAGACAGTTCAAAGTTAAAAGCACTACGAACCCACGTCTGTCTTCCAAGTAGGCACGACAACGTAGTTGAGATAGAGTTGGAAACAGCTGTGGCCTCATGGCAGCTTCTAACAGCTCCTATTCAATAGGCTTGTTCCTTTGCTCTTTGTTCAAAATTTCATATGAGTTGCACAATTTCATCTTATATCATCTCACCATCTCTTTGCAAGCTATTTAAACAGTTTTATCAATCATGGATTAGCCGATTGGAAACATAAAAAATACGATCAAATGACACAGACCAGTTCTGTGGCTTGTCAATGATTTAATATAACAAAATATAGAAGTTTCTAATCAATTCCTAGGATTATTAAATCTACAAATCTGGATGGCCACATGATCTTTAATGGAACCAAGTTGGGTTTTTCTTACCACGAAGCAAGTTTGAAGTGGCTGATCTTGAGTTCACACTGCACTTATAATGCAATTGGTTTTCTTGGTCCGAAAATCAAAGTTTTTATGGCATTTACAAGTGCTTGAGGATTTAAAGTAGCATCAACTTTACATATTGCTTCAGAATCATCTATCTGAAGCAACTCCAACTGAGATTGCAACAGCTTTGCCGGCATAAAATGCTTCCCTTCTGCAGCTCTTTTATCTAATCGCTCCGCAAGCACCTCAGCCTTGGCATCCAGCAACACGAACTTAACTGCACTGTTAAAGCTTCCATGATGGTAATTACAGTCTGCGGATCTAAGCATTTCTCGATATTGTTTCTGCAGAGCAGAACAGCTGAGCACTACTGTTTTTCCACTGATCAAGCTCTCCCTTAAAGCATCTTGTAGGATTTCAAGCCATGGAATCCGGTCTTCCTCTGTTAGAGGTATTCCTTGACGCATTTTGTCTATAGTGATGGGGAAAAAAAGAGAGTCAGTGATAGGACGCAAGAATGTAAAGAAATTTAATAAATGCATGAAGACTTTAAAAGCAAACAACAATGCAGTGAGTAGTTATATAAAAAATACCGAATTAGTTTATAGGTACCTTTGTTTGATTGAGGGTGAAAATCATCAGCATCCAGAAAACTACAGTCCAAAGCTTTGGCCAGAAGCTCACCTATTGTACTGTTAAAGTACAGACGTTTTTTTGTTAAATAAAGGGTTTTGAAGCACAGGTTAAGTACGGGAGGATGGGATATTTTTCCAGTCACAGGATTTTTAGTTTTAGCTAGAGTTCGCGATTTCAACTTATATGGGAGTTCGAACTTACACTAAACAGCACAGGATCAAGAAAATGAAATATATGCCAAGTAGATAAGAATATAAAATGCAAGAGAAAAAGGAACAAAAGTATATGATATGAATAGGGAAATAATGAATGGTTAAATTCAAATTTGTACTAGCAATATCTAGCTTATAACTCGACAAGATCCCGTTTCACCAAGCCAATAAAGATGATGGAAATCAGCTTTAAGCTTTACAAAAGAGATCAAAAGAGACAGATTTATAAGCATCAATCGTTGAATTGGAGAGATAATGGTGAAGCTGGTTCTACTTGGGAGTTAAAGTTAAGACTCTTTTGGTGGTGGGTTGTTACTGTTCACGCTATTCTATCAAGGCCCTCTTACTAGCAGCCTCCGCTTCCAAATTTTATTATTTTGTGGGTCTATTTTAAAGTTTTTTAAAATCTTTATTTTATTTGCATCCACTTGCACGATCTGTATTAATGCGTTTGGGTGGTTATGATTTATCGTTATGCAGGTTAGGTAATTGGCAACTTTAGCTTTATGTCTTCTTTTTCCAGCAGTCAATAAAGTCACCAATTCAGCGGTGTGGTTTATGTTGTTGAAAGTGTGAGGCTTTCTAACAAGGAATGATTCCTTGAATAGTTGAACCTACTGGTGTGAGACTAGTAGTCCATTATTTTCTCATCTGAAACTGTAAATTATCCTATGGTTTACAGTCTCTTAATCCTAAACTTGTTATCCTGTAATTGTTCCCGCCTTTTCCTACAAAACAATCTGTTCTGAGTGTAAGAATATTTCTTTGTTGTTTAACATTTGCTTTCTTACCCATCTACAATGTATTTGAACTGTTGATAGCTCTAAGTAGATTCTCCCTTAAAAAGGAACACCATAACAATAACTGGGAACACAATCACAGCCGCAATAATGACCTTAAACACATTAGCCACTTTATAATGCTTTGAGAACAATAAAGATGGATATGAATCTTCAAGTGTGGGCAGCTAGCTTTGTTGAGGATATTACGGAAATAAAGAAGTAAGAATCTCTTTACATGTAGCTATCTCAGATACAAAAGGGAAGAAACTGTAAAACTTAGAAGCTTAGACATTTTGTTTCTTGTTTTTCCCATAAGGATTGAGGTTTATTCAATGAAACAATGGACAAGACAATACTAAGGATTTTAATTCAAGGATGTGTATGAGATAAGATGAAGGGGAAAAGTAAAAACATTATGGTTGAGGTTCAAAGCTTTTATGATTTCTTAGAACTGATAACAACAAAAAGATACATGAGGATAGAACTCACGATTTCCCAGCGCCACTGACACCCATGATTACAATCGCTTTACCTATAAACTCAAAAGAAAAGAATACTATCAGGATATTAACAAAGAACAATCCCAGAATTGAAACAAAGAGGAAAAGAAGATTAAGTATACTGACCCATGGTCTGCATGATTATGGGAATTTAGATGTTGCGCATAAAGATTAAGGTTCAGATCAGAGAGATAGATTTCATTTGAAGAAAGGAAATCAAGCAAGGTCACAGTCTGGAAAACATATAAAATGAATGTTATTGATGCATCTGTTCTTAGCTTAAACCTGATTATACTCGATCTCCAAAATATGACAGAAACTCAAGGTTTTAAATGAGCCAACAACATCCGTGAACTTCAAATTTCATGTTTGTGTGACAAGACCATAGTCCAAGGTTCAAAACCAATTATATATATATGTTCATGCTGCGGGTGCAATTTGGGCACCATAAATATACAACATACACTACAGCCTCAAATAATTAATAAGTTTTGAAATGTAATCATAAATAACCATTACCTTACAGCAAATTGATTTCTGTGAATAGTGGCATTCAACAATATAATGTCAGAAAAATAAAGAGATGAGTTTGACCTTCTAAAGCAACTGAGGATAAAAAATAGAAGATGGAGAGAGATTACCTAAACGATCTGATCTTTTTAGACTTGCATCTGTCTGGGGCTGGCTTTATATATTTTTTTCAGACAAGACCTATGACCAAAATTATTTCTTCACAGGCAGCAGCTCCTGGCTAAATAACGTTTTGCAGCTGCTCTACCAAGTTTGGCTACTGCCGGGTCCAACTCACTTATCGGACCTAAGTTTGACTTATCAAACCCAAAGAGCCGTCGCTCTTCTTTCTTTTTTCTCTTTTAATTACCAGCTTCAGAGTTGGTGGTTAGTGAGACTCAATCTCCCCTCATCAAATTTTAAGTTATTCATTCATGTATAAATTAATTAAATATATTTATGAAAAAAAAATTACGTCATCAATAAAGACAAATAACCATCACATGCCACTTGACACTTAGGTTTTGTATGGTTCACAATTAAAAAAAAAAACAAACTAAAAGGTAGATTTTAATGAGTTGTATAGCATATTGGGTTTTTAGAAATATCAAATGAATATAGTAAATTTAAAAATCTCTTGGGAGTCTTAAGGATCTAGCAAACACATCTAAGGGGTTTATACAAATATAATTTGAAGATGAAATATTTTTTGTGGCTTTGAATAATTGCTTTAAGGATAGGTTGTTGCCAACTACAAGTCATTTAAGTTTTCAATCTTTAACAATAATTCACACAAACCACTAGTGAGAAATTTCCTACATGCTTTTAAGAGAGAGAGATTATTATGTTTTTGTGTGTTAGCTCTTTTCTTTTGTGTTTTTCAAGTATTCTAAAACTTACGTAGTTTATATTCAGGAAATACGAGTGACACGACGAAAAGATTGATATCTTCTCCCAAGTGTAAGAGTGTCGAAGTAATAAATAACCTAACAAGACCGGGGTCGAACCAAAGGGAGGTTAATTGTATAAATTACAGATAACAATAATAATACAACAACAATAATAATAACAACAACAACAATAATAATAGTAATAACAATAACAATAATAAAAACAACAATAATAACGATAATAGTAGTAGTAGTAGTAGTAGTAATACTAATAATAATAATAAAGAAAAAGAAGGAGAAAAAGATGAGAACTTTGAGATGAAATATTAATGTAAGGATTAAACAATGATAATAACAGATGTCAAGGTTAGAGGATCCACTAATGGTATGTCAAACAAGTATAGTATAAACTCTTATTATTCAATTGAAAACCACACACAAAAGAGGTTCCAATTAGATTATAAATTGTTAACATGATTACATTAATCATCTTATTCGATTAATGCTAATACTTGTAAATCTTGTCAAGCATTCATGATTATAACTTATGTTAACAACAAATCAAGTTCTTTTCATAGCTCAAGTGTCGGTTATACCATACAGTATGGGCTATGAAAGTGCCAAGCATTTGTTGTACCAAGTGTTATATAACATAAATCAAGATTAGTCATTTAACAAGCAAAGTATTAAAGAGTGAACAAGATAACAAATACAAAACATGTTAGTATCAAACATTAAAGTCTATATTAAGTTTACACTATACTTATTCTTACACCATCAGTGTAACCTTTTCACCTTGACAAAATAAACTTAGCTACACATAATAAAAGAAAGAAAAATAAATAAACAAAACGAGAACATAAACAAGATAAAAGTTAACTAAGTAAAGAAAAAGAAATGAAAAGCATAAACTTGATATTAATGAAAGAAAAGCATAAGCAATACAAAAAAATACAAAGAGAGAAAGCCAAAACATGATCTTGATGTAGAGACCAAGATACCTAAATGCATGGCAAATGCCTCCTTTTATAGGCCAAAAATGGGAACTATTGCTTTGATGACTAATTGATGAGTAGGTGACCAACTTTTGACTTGGTGACAATCCTTATCTTCTCTTGTCTGCCCAAAACGTCATTGATAATGTCAAAATTAGAGCCACTTGAAAACATAAAAGTTGTAGGAAATTGTCTCATCTTTCTTGTGTAAACAATTCAGCTCATTTGGACTTCTAGAACTTCAGATATGGGCCAAATACTGAACAGTGCTCGGGCTAAAAGATAGATTCAAACTTCTTTTTTGTTGCTCCAATTTGGACTTGAAAAGGGCCTTTTTAGATCTTGGGCTCCTATGAAAGTTGGTGGCCTATGTCTTACCTTTCCATCCATATAAAGTAGACCTAAATCTGAGATCTACAATTCTAGATATGACCCAATTACTGATTAGTACTTAAAAGTGCATTTTTATCATGGTTTTATATCATCATTTTGCACTTGAAGTATCAATAACTCCTTAACCAAAGCATATTTTATAATAATATATCTAATAATATAAGATACCTTTAATTTATGGTAAATGTTCATTTTAAATGCAGGCCTATCACATAAATGAAAGGATTGATTGATGACTTTAAGAACTTAAATTGCAAGGATAAAGAGATGGCCAAACTTAGAAAAGAGATGTCGGTGCAATCTAAACCGGAACACTATTCGGTAATTGGGTCATATCTGGAGTTATATATCTCAGATTTAGTTCCAATTTCTATGGATGGAAAGGTAAGACATAGGCTCACAACTTTCATATGGACCCCAAGATCTAAAAAGTCCATTTTCAAGTCCAAATTGTAGCAACAATAAAGAAGCCCGAATCTATCTTCCAGCCCGAGCACTGTTCAGTATTTTGGCCATATCTGGAGTTCTAGAAGTCCAAATGAGCTGAATGTTTTACACAAGAAAGCTGAGCCAATTGCCTACAACTTTCATGTTTTCAACTAGCTCCAATTTTGACGTTATCAATGATGTTTTGGGCAGACAAGAGAAGATAAGGATTGTCACCAAGTCAAAAGTTGGCCACCCACTTATCAATTAGTCATCAAATCAATAGTTCCCAATTTTGGCCTATAAAAGGAGGCATTTGCCATGCATTTAGGCATCTTGGTTTCCAGATCAAGATCATGCTCTTCCTTTCTCTCTTTGTATTTTTTGTAATGTTTATGCTTTGCTTTCATTAATATTAAGTTTATGCCTTTCATTTCCTTTCCTTTACTTAGTTAACTTTTATGTTCTTATTTTGTTTATAAGTTTGTGCCTTTCATTTCCTTTCCTTTACTTAGTTAACTTTTATGTTCTTATTTTGTTTATCTATTTTGCTTTCTTTCATTATGTTTAGCTAAGTTAGTTATGTCAAGGTGAAAAGGTTACACTAATGGTGTAAGAATAAGTATAATGTAAACTTAATATGGACTTTAATGTTTGATACTAACATGTTTTATCCATGTTATCTTGTTTTAGTTATCATACTTTGCTTGTTAAATGACTAATCTTGATTTTTGTTGTATAACACTTGGTACGACGAATGCTTGGCACTTTCATAGCCCATAATGTATGGTATAACCGACACCTGCGCTATGAAAGGAACTTGATTTGTTGTTAACATAAGTTATAATCATGAATGCTTGATGAGATTTACAAGTATTAGCATTAATTGAATAAGATGACTAATGTAATCATGTTAACAATATATACTCTGATTGGAACCTCCTTTGTGTGTGGTTTCCAATTCAATAATAAGAGTTTATGCTATACTTGTTTGATATACCATTAGTGGAACCTCTAACCTTGACATTTGTTATTATTATTGTTTAATCCTTACATTAATTTTCCATCTCCAAGTTCTCATCATCTTCTTCTTCTTCTCTTTCTTTATTATTATTATTATTATTATTATTATTATTATTATTATTATTACTATTGTTGTTGTTGTTATCTACTACTACTGCTTGACCGCTTTTTATGATCGGCTTGTTTTAACTCGCAAGTGCACGAGTGTGCGATGTAGCAATTAACTCGGTAAGATCGAGGTCAGATCCACAGAGAGCTAGATCTGGAAATTAAGCTAAGTAACAAAAAAAAAACTCAAGAGAAATTAAATTAACAATAACTTGGTTGAAAATAATTGATGGATTTGTTTTCAAAGATAAAAAAAAATGTAAATAGATTTTAAATGACAAGAAAAGTAAGTCTTGGTCCAAATCAATTTTAATGGTGATGTATTGGTGATTTCTTCAACATATATAAGATAACTCAACCTAATCTCAACGATGGTGATATTAGAGCGGAAGATATTACAATGAAGATTAGAAAGATGAAGATTGATTATTGCTTAAGAATGAACAAGTACTTTCATATTAAGTAAGACATTGAATCAAGCAATCTCTATACCAAAACTAAAGTTTGTGCATAAAAATTCAAGATTATAATATTACCTAAATGATTTCTAAAATTTCTTTACAATAATAAATCATTCATGAAGAAAATAAGAAGATAAACATTAAGATTCATTCATATCCTAAAGAACTCACCTCAATCACCATTATCCTTGATTTGGATCCAAGAAAGAGTTTAGCCAACCATGATTATATATAAGAACACTTCAATAAACATGAAAGAACTTGAATCCAACTGAAAAAAATAAGTTTTACAAACTAAAGAACCGAAATCTATAAAGAAGAACACAATACAATTTCAGAAAAAATTCGGACACAAATCTGACTCTAACTTTGGACAGCAATTCGACCCTCTTAGAAGCTTTTTTTGGAGAAGTCTATTAGAGACATATTTATAGACAATTCTGTCACCTTTCCAGATCATTAAAGAACAGCCCATTTGGACACCTGAGTTAAAAGTTATGGGCAAAACACCGAAAGGTGTTCTGAAAAATCAAATCAAGACAGCTTTACAACTACTTTGGTGCACGTTTTTCTTCCTCATTTATGAGGTGTCTCCTTCTTCTTTTTGACCCAAAATAATGTTAAAATATCCCCTCCAGCTTTCCATCCATGTGCTTGCCTTCTTGGATCAATGGATTGCCCAAAATAAATCAATTGTTATTTGTTGTGTGGACATGTAAGATCATGGATTGTGTTTGGGTTGATTTGAAGGTTGATTTGGGGTTGATTTAGGGCTGATTTGGGGCTGAATTTGAGCTGAATTTGAGCATCAAATAAGTATACAAATGTACTTATTATTTGGGCTAAGATTGACATTGAAACCTTGAGTGTTTAATGGTTGAAGTTTGCACACAACATAAGGCAAGTTTGGGCTTGAAATAAATCATATGATATCCTTTTCTAGAATTGGAATAGAATTGATTTTTGGGGCAAATTTGGAGCACTTATTTGAACCAAGATTTGCTTCAATCTTCAACTAAATGTCTCTTCAATTCTTTGTTCTGAATTTCGACGTTGAATTTTGTGAATTAATTCATTTAAGCTCCAAAAACCTATCGAAACATTAAAACAAACTTCATT